AACAAAACTACACACACACACATACACACACACAAACACACACACACACACACACACACACACACAAACACATGCACACAAAGGTATCATAAATACAAGTAGATTTAGTTATATATATATCACATTACCGTTTTCTCCACAATGCCCAGGTCCCCAGACTTGAGGACACCTCTGACGATCTCCGCTGCCTTGCGGGAGGCAGTCACAGACGCAGCAACGATTCTCAGCAACAGATCCCTTTGAGACATTTTAGTTGTGTTTTGCTTCTTTTTGGCGACAAACTGGTTCCGTGTTATGCACACAAAGATGTTGTCTAGGTCTAGTTATGGATCCAGTCAAAATATTCTTCAACAAAGTTCAGAGTCCAGTTTCATAAACAAAAAGAACCTGCCTGCGCTGCAAAATCCCGAATAATTATAACGGTCGGTAAAAAAAAAAAAAAAGTTGCTGCTCTTATTACGATAATATTATAGATCTAGATAGAGTCTAGATCTAGATTAGATCTAGAATCTAGATCTAGAAAGATCTAGATCTATCAAGTTTATTATCTAGACAAGAATTTCATGTAACATAACACCGAGAAAACACTGGAGCTAAACCAGTTAACTGCTAATGTTTCAAAAGGCTTTGGAAGCGACGAAAGAACCAACCAAAGAAACAAAACAAAACAAAAACTTCTTGCCAAATCAGAACGAAGATTTTAAAGTGAGCTGTGGGATTCTAGTTGACACAAAAGGCGCGTCTATGACAACCAAAATGGCCAAATGTGGTTTTTGTGCAATGAGCATTGTTTCGGGAATTCCCGAAAAATCACGTTCAACGTTACAACCCCTTCTGAGCGAAAAAAAGAAAACAAGCCCGAAAAATTGATTGAGTACCAATGCAAAGGAGAAAGTCATGCATCAACTCGACGAATGTGAGGAGGAAAGAGGCAGATCTAAAGACTGTTGTAAGAAACAGATAGATCAGATCAAGATCTGTTAACAAACGCACTAGACATTAAGTATAAAGAGACAAGCTGCTCTGACCCGCACCTAGACGAAAATAATAATCCTATAATACATACGCTGAGGAAAGCGATGTGAACGTAGATGGACTACGGGTACGTGCGTCAAAGCACAGCACAGAAGCGAGTCACAGCTATATTTCACTCAGAACTGCCTAGTATAACAGGAATTTTCTTTTTCGAAATTGTAAAGGTTGTCGTTTACACCCTTTGCAACATTGTGAAGTTATTTAAGAGGCGGGACTTCCAAATTTAGCGTCCACTTCCTACAGGACCGAGCCAAATGGGGAAATTAGTGTAAAGTGTCTTTCCCAATGACACAACGTTGGACCCAGCTGAGTCTCGAACCCCCGAACGCGCACTTTCCTAGTGATTTACGAGTCCGGTAGCCTGACCACTAGACTACTGACGTCACTTCATTCATCCGGTGCCAGATCTGCGACAGACATCGGCGATCATGGTTTTCCATATTCATTCCTTTGCTCGGATGCTCTCAAAAAAGCTACGTTTCCCTGATCTTTCCCTGTTACCCATTTGTTTAGGTTCCCTAAGTATGTTGTTCTGGGCCTACCCCTGCCTCGCTTGCCTTCAATTTTGCCAGTGAGAGCTAGATGTTCAAGACCCTTATGTCTATTCGGGTGTCCCAAAAACTGCATTTGTCGTTTCCTGATTTTTTTAAACATTGAAATGAAGGTAATACTTACGGGCTAGTACATTGGCCAGGGCAATACATGTACTTAATTATCCCATAACGACTGAGAGCACGGTTAAGTTTGGTCGTTATGATTCATTCGCACGCACGGAACCGGTACTTATTGTAAATTCGTGCAAAACTGATATATATAGGCAGATGCTCCACGTACCACCCACCTCCCCCTTCATCCTTACTTAAAGCTCCATCTCAGCCATGATGTGTTCTTCTATCACTTTCTCTCTATCTCTGTACTTGACCTTTGTTTTTTTCCTCTCCCTATTTGCGGGGATTTTTTTTTGGGGGGGGGGGGTGGCGGCGCGAAGCCATGGATTAGTAGCAGCCCCCCTCCCCCCCTTTTCTCCCCAAAACTACACCCCGTACAAACAAACGAACAACACCATCTCTTACGATAAGAGGCCTTAAAATCAAACAAACAAAAGAAAAACACACACACACACACTTCTCTTTCCTTCTCCAATTCAAAATGTACAAGAAGAAAAAAGTTGCGTCGTTCGGTTGTAGCTCAAGGCGTAGCCTTGCCTTATAACTCAAAAACCACTCAAAGCTCCTAATTATTTATATATTATATATTATAAAGACACACAGTCACATAGCACACACACACACACACACACACACACACACACACACACACACACACACACACACACACACACACACACACACACACACACACACACACACACACACACACACACACACACACACATAATACAGGCAGACTACACAGACAGCGATATGAAACCTTCGCCACCAAACATTCCATTATCATTCATTATGCTAATGACGCTCAAGGGTTTCTTGCCCTGTGGGTGAAATTAATGAGCTCATCATCTGTGTCACAATTTAGCTCGAGCGTGCAAACACGATGTGCACTATATTACTGTCTACCGGCGACTGCACGCATGCATTCATTATATTTACGACGTTAATGAGCAGGTTTGTCTGTTTCAACTCAATGTCGACGAATTAATACTCATCTGGCACTGGCATACGACAGGCACACTCTGCAATTGTGATTGTGAGCTATAAAATTTACGTCTTCATCGGCATAACCTTAAATCGCGGCCCGGGGGGAGTAAAGGGGGACTAACTGTCGGAGATGACTCCTATACGACAGGTGGTCGTCTTGGACAGGTTCAACGATAGATACATAGACAGATAGATAGATATATAGATAGATGGATGGATAGATATATAGATAGATGGATGGATAGATAGATAGATAGATAGATAGATAGATAGATAGATAGATAGATAGATAGATGGATGGATGGATGGATGAATGGATGGATCGATGGATAGATAGAATACCCGAGGATACAGAACAAAAGATTGACCGATGACTCCAAATTGCCAACAGCGCGAACACACTAGCAAAGTTGACCAAGAAAGTAGATCTAGAATCTAGTGTGTACCGGCTTAAACACAATCCAACATCAGGATGGAGGAAAATTACACACGTCTAGATCTAGAGTCTAGATATCTATATTTAGTAACTCAACAGCAACACACGCTACGTCCTCGTTCACTTTACGAAGACAGAGAATCACCAACACAAATTAAAAAAACAACAAACGCGCATGGCATTACGTATTATCCATTCACTGCTGCAGACAATTTTTATATACCGGGTCTAATAATTACAGGTAGATTTCTAAATGCTTAGAGATTCACCAACACACATTTAAAATAAAAATGATAACCGCACATAGCACTCAGAGAAAGTTATTATCCACTCACAGCAAACAACCTTCATTGACCAGGCCTAATAATTACAGGAAAATGCTGAGAGAATCAACACAGACAATGGCTACCCATTCACTACAGACAACTTTTATAGACCAAGCCTACCAATTACAGGTAAATGCTAATGTTGCTTACAAATACGCATGTATATTATCAGAGAAGAAGCAGAGACCTATAATTCACACACAGAAAAAAAAACCCACGCACCGACGCTGTGTCGAAATTGTGGATTGTAAAATGTGACAGTGAGAAGTCTTTTTTTCAACGAACGTTTCCAAACCTTTCACGTCTGAACAACCCGTGCCTCACTGTGCGAACGTGTGCTTTCATGCACACTTAAAATAACAGTTGTGAAGCAACACGGAAGACACGGGATAGCCATGGCTAACTATGGCCCATTTATCTATTTGCCATTCGCACAGCGTAACTGGCCTACATTTGGTTAAAAGTAGAATTAAGGACACCATATGGGGATACAAACTGTGACGATCCAATTCATATTTCAGCATGACTTCGCCTTTTATTTGTCTGTTTAAAAAACACTCGAACTCACACACATACACACACACACACACACACACACACACACACACACACACACACACACACACACACACACACACACACACAGCATGCGCACAAACACACACGTACATCTTTCTCTCTCTCTGTCTCTCTCTCTCTATTTGTGGGCAGATGTTTGGAAGGGAGAAAGAGAGACAGAGAGAGAGACAGTGAGAGAGAGAGACAGTGAGAGAGAGAGACAGTGAGAGAGAGAGACAGTGAGAGAGAGAAACAGTGAGAGAGAGACAGAGAAAGACACTTAGAGAGAGAGGGGGATAGAAAGACAGATCGATAGACCATTAGACAGACGGACAGACAGACAGACAGACAGACAGACAGACCGAGAAAGAGGAGGAGGGGGTGGGGGTTGGGGTGGGGCTCATTATTTATCT